CACACTGAATCCAAGTTTGAAATATGGCAACTTTGAAAGATATTACTAAGGCAACTAAAGTCAATAGAAAAGGCTAGAAAATGGTATCTCCAGTACCCACTCTGGAATAATGAAAATTAAGTTCCATCCCCAGGTAACGAGGAAGGAAAAAAGAAGGAAAACCTATGATTTTAGCTTATTGTCATCTTTGGCTGAAGAAACTTGGTCCACTGATTTTTTTCAATAGATAACAAGATATTCATAAATTATTTTATAACAAAGAACATACAATTAAAAAAACTATAATGTTGATTGTATCTGTTTTAGGTAGATGATACAGCTCTGTAAAATTCAAGGTTCATATTAAAAGGCTAGAGTTAACAACAGCTAGTGAAAGAAGTGTTACTTTTTTTTTGGTGCCATTTTTTAAAACTTCTCTACAGATGAATATTTATTTCCTTTGATTCATTTGGTCTTCTCTTAATTTTCCAAAGTTGTTTCTCTATTTCTGCTAGTCAGCACCATCAGGGTCTTCCCAGACAAAGGCATCACAGTGAGGAGCCTCAGATCCAGGACTTCTTTAAACCATCTTTCTCCTTAGAAGATTGTCTGTAGTCAACATTCAAAGCCAGGAGTCCTTTATTCTGCACGGCCTAGGCCCTCCTGCTCCGACTATCCTGTTCCTCTCAAGTTGAGAGGACATCCTCTCCTGGGAGAAGTCTGTGCTGCCAGGCAATGGCCCTTTCATGTTTACATGAAGCAGTCAGGCTGAACCATGTCAGCACACATCCCAGTGGGATTCAGACATGTTTTTAAAATGGCCCCTATTCATATCTCCAATTACTACACTTAACGCATGCTGTGGAACCTGACTTTTACTTCTAGCCTCATTTACCATAGACCACTTGGTCAATGATTACAAGTTCTGTTCTTGGCATCTCCACGAGGACATTTTATCTTGTCACTGACGTGCCCTCCCTGAGTGCAGGCAATTGTGTAGCACAATGAAAATCCCCACCCCCTTCTGTCTCCTTGACCGGCTTTTGTGGATGGACTTAAAATGAGGAACATCCAATTTCATGTGCATTTCTCTTCTTTTGTAGATGCACATCATTGCTTGTATTTGCATTCAGTAATGGGATTTTTTTTATTATTCTTTTTGCATGGTATCATGTTTGTTGCTGGGTCTGTCTTCCTATTTATAATGTACTTGCCTTCTGGGAAGAGCTCAACTGACCTGCATCTCTATCTTCTACATAAATCCAGTTGTCTGGAAATTGGTTGGTGTTAACAAGTAGATGTTGAGTGCAACAGGACTCGACAGTACTCCTACTTAAGGCATTTTGATTCTCTTCATGTCCCAAGCTCGGTCCTTAGAACCAGAGAAGCTTACTTTGTCATTGTCAATTAGATATTGCATTTCCTTCTACAAACATACAGAATGAACCAAGAATATGCTTACAAGACATTCTCAGTGGCTATCAGTTCATCAGACCAAATCAATTTGTTGACTTTATCCTTTTTAGAACCAAAGAAAAATTATACTCTCCCTACTAAATGCCCTTTGCTGGTTATAGGACCCTAGGTGTAGTAATGGCTACATCTCCCTTCTATGTTGTACAACAACATTCTTGCTTGGTGGTGCCTTATCCCTGACCCTGTTTCCTGCCAGGTCTTCATCTTCTTTACCCTTCCGTGCCTCTGTAATAGGATGATGTACATTGCCCTCTTCCCTTCCTCATTTCTTCCTCTCTTGCAGTTCTCAGCTTCATGATACAATACCTTCCTCTTTTTCATATCTCAAAATGTTTAAAAGTATATACTTATTGGAATTTTTTCTATTTTTTTCTTGAGTTCTAGGGTTTAAACTCAGGGCCTCCCTTTTGCCTAAGCAGGGCCTCTACTGCTAAACCACACCTTCAGTCTTTTTTAAGACTGATTATATTTAAGATAAAATCTGGCTCTCGTGCCCAGGCATGCATCTGGACCACAATCTGCCTATTTTAGACTTCCTGTGCTAATTGGGATCATAGGTATATGTCACCATGCCCACCTTCCTGGGAAATAAAAGAAAATATAAAGGAACAAAAATGACCTTCAACTTGACTAACAAATCCTTCTAATGGTACAAGCAAGTAATATGTACACTTGTTCAAAGACTAAAAAATAAAAAGTATATCTAACCGTAAAGCTTCCTTTCTCTGTCAGTCAAGTCTCCAAGTTTTTCTACTCTGCAGTAATTATAGCTAATATTTTCCTATGTATGTATGTATGTATTTTGTGCTGGTACTGGGGCTTGAACTCGAGGCCTGGGCACCCTTAGCTTTTGTGCTCAAGGCTGTTGCTCTACTAGACCTCTACTGCTGGCTTTTGCCCATTAACTGCAGGTAAGTTCCTCAGGGACTTTCCTGCCTGGGCTAGATCTTGATCCTCAGATCTCAGACTTCTGAGTAGCTAGGATAATAGACATGAGCCACTCAAGACCTGGCTTTAGCATGTATTTTATTTTGATTTATCATATATTTTAATTTGATTTTAAATATATGTACCAGGAAATAAAAGTTGAAATGGATATATCTATATTTTCTATTTATATGGAAGGGTGCCAATAAGACTCTGGATTTATCATTGATCATATTTTAACAATCTTTCTATAGACCCATCCTCTCCCAGAAAAAAATATATCTTATTCTTTTTTGAGGTTATTTTCATTATTATGAAATTTTATTTAGTTTTAAAAATTATCTTTATGGAGTTGTACCAAGTAATTGTCTTATTCCTCATAACTGTTTCATAATAATCTGTTGTGTGGGTAGTCTAACTTATTATTGTTTCTTATTGGTAGACATTGACATTGTTACTTATGATTAATAATACAACTATTAATATCCTTATCACATGCTAGTATTCTGCTAGATATGCTCCCTGGATATAATGTACTTTGGTCAAATTTACCTCTCTCTATTTCTTTTAGCAGCCCCTTCTTTTTAAGCAATAATGTATTTTTAAATGCTATTTTCATAAATGTTTATAATATACTTCACTTATGGTCCCCCCACAGTTCCCTTCCCTTCCCCCCAGCAACTGTATCCCCCCTTTTTATAGTCATCTCTTACTCACCTTTCTTCTTTTCTCCCACTGCTCTTCCCTCTCTCCCTCTCTCTCTCTCTCTCTCTCTCTCTCTCTCTCTCTCTCTCTCTCTCTCTTGTTATTCATTGTAAAGGTGATGGGCTGAGGGAGTTACCATTGCATAAGTAAGGTAATGAGTATATTTGTTCTTTTTTTGGGGGGGGGGCTGAACTCCGGGCCTGGGCGCTGTCCCTCAGCTCTTCAGCTCAAGGCTAGCATTCTACCACTTGAGCCACAGAGCCACTTCTGGTTTTTTTCTTTTTGCTTATGTGGTGCTGAGAAATCGAACCCAGGGCCTCATGCATGCAAGGCAAGCACTCTATCACTGAGCCACCTTCCCAGCCCCAGTATATTTGTTCTTAAACACTGTTACCCCATCCCTCATTTTCTTCTGCTTACTCCTCCCTACTCCCCTTATGTTGTAAGGTTCATATTGTTCCTCTTCCTCCTCATATTATTCTTAGGTTTAGATTTTGTATATGAATAAACATATAAAACATGTTTGTCTTTCTGAGTTTTTCATCCAAGTTTATTTTTTCCCTTTTATGGTTTCTGGATCTTCTCTAACACAAGTTCATAAATTTACCTCTGCATCCTTTGAAAATATCTGTCTTTTAGATTCAAATCTTAATCCACCCTTGGCTCTAACACAACATGCTCATGATAAGCCACATTTCCATATGCAGCAGGTCTCTTCCTAGATTCAGATTGTTTTCGTGATACATTTCATGATACATTTTCATGTTTAGGATCTGATTATTGCTATTTTTTTTTGTATTTTTTTTTCATGGCTATGATTGCATACTTGGTAATTTTCCCTAAGTAAATTTCACAATCATTTTTCTTTTTTTAAAAAATGTTTTTATTGTGAAATACTGTACAGAGGGGTTACAGTTACATGAGCAAGGTAATGAGTATATTTCTTATCCAGCATTGTTGCCTCCTCCTTTGTTTTTCCCCTACCATCCCTTCCCTCCCACCTCCTCAACTACACCCCCACCCCTCTACCCCTGCCTAAATTTTAAAGTTCGTTTTTCGACATAGCGTCTTGTACATCTCATTGTTGCAATGGGTCCATCTGTATCCCTATTTAAACAATTTGTTTTTTGCCTTCCCCTCCACAAATTATACCAACATCAAATACAGTGAAAACAAGGGTTATAGCATGGGGGAGGGAACAATCATTTTTCTCAAGTTTTAAAACATTATACATTATTTTATGCTGGCCACCCAGTAGATTATGCTTGTAATCCTAGCTACTCAGGGGGTTGAGATCAGTTCAAAGCCAGCCAGGGCAGAAATGTCTGTGAGACTCTCATCTCTAATAAATTATGCAGAAAAGGCTGGAAGTGGTACTGTGGCTCAAGTAGTAGAGAGCTAGCCTTGAGCAAAAAGAAGCTGAGGGACAGCACCCAGACCCTGAGTTCAAGCCCTAAGACCAGCACCAAAAACAAAACAAAACAAAACAAAAACCCCAAACCCTCCAAAACTTTAAAGTGGAAACAAATGTTAGATGAGTACCAAGGAATAGTATTGTGTGATACTTGTCCTCTTAAAAGAACTAATTTGATGTGTTTTTCTTTGTAAGACATAGATGAGTTTGAGCTATATTGTAATTTTCTGTTTATCTTCTACTACTTGCTCTAACTTCTTGACATTGGCTTTTTAATCTGGTAATTTTACACTCATGGAGCTGTCCTGTTTGACTAAGCCACAATTATTTTTGCTACTTACTTATATAGGAAAATAATTTCACATCCAAATAGTACTTAAGTAAAAACTTCAAAAGTGAAATATTGCATCAGCTAAGGTTAAATGTGTAATTGATTTGGGTGTCTTCTGTACAACCGTGTTAATTGAAAACCATATTTTTAAACTTTTATTGTTCCTAGAATAAATTACTGGAGCCTAAACGACAGCAGCAAGAGGAAGAAAGAGCCAAAATCCATCAAACTGAGCACAGGAGGTATAACTGGCTAATAAAATAAGCATCCTTGGTAAAAATCAATTACTTATAAAGTTTTGCAGTATGCTAGGGAAACACTACGGTAATGATGTAGAAAAAGATTTTGGTATCTATATCACCTTTAAATCTTTGTATGTATGAAATATACATACTGTGTGTACACACCCAAATACACATACATATGTACGTATATGCATTTATAATATCCTGTTTTCATGACTAGATGACACTGTAAGAGCCTATATCAATACAGGGCTGTTTAGTTACATTTAACTCTCTGGAACAAAGCATCATGGAAATGTTCTGTCTGAGACCTCTGTTTTCAGAGTACCATCAGAAGATACTCTACCATTTGTAGAATAATTAGATTAGTATACTTGGGTCTAAAAGTTCAGAAAAAAAGCTTATTAATGTTAGTTTATGTGGACTAATATATCAATAGGTTAGACAGAACCAGTAAGTAATTTAATAGGGCAAATACCCCCTGTCTTATTTATAATATCAGATGTAATTACTTGATAGGACCCAGTAAATACTATGTTAACTTTAGAACAACACTAATAACTACCAAATTGTCAGTCATTATTTTACTAGGGTTTTTCTTTTTATTTATTTATTTATTTATTATTGTGAAAATACTGTACAGAAGGGTTACAATTACATGGGCAAGATAATGAGTACATTTCTTATCAAGCATTGTAGCCTCCTCCTTTGTTTCCCCTTCCCATCCCATCTTCTCCTTACCCTCCCCCAACCCTCCTCCCCGCCATGAACCCTAAGATATGTATTCAAATGTTTTTTTCTTTCATGCGATTGTTTCTAACACATTTATAAGATTATTTCATTGTTGCTTTGTATGTCCCTCCCCCACGGTATAACCTCTGCTTTCACTGTATTTGATGTTGTTATAATTTGTGGAGGGGAAGGGAAAAAACAAATTGTTTAAATAGGGATACAGGTGGACCCATTGCAACAATGAAACTTACAAGTCATTATGTTGAAAACAAACTTTACTAGGGTTTTTCTCAGAGTAAGTTCATTAGAGGTATGCTTGAGTGTCTTAGGAGAAGAATTTAATAAAAGAGCCTTTGTTATTTATCAAAGCAAATTCTTCTTTGTGAATAGCTTCTCTCTCTCTCTCTCTCTCTCTCTCTCTCTCTCTCCTCTCTCTTGTCAGTTATAGGGCTTAAACTCTGGGCTGGAGTGCTGTCTCTCAGCTCTTCAGCTCAAAGCATATGCTCTACCACTTGAGCCACAGCTCCACTTCTGGTTTTCTGGTGGTTTATAGACTGGCTTTGAACTGCAATCCTCAGATCTAAGCCTCCTGAGTAGCTAAGATTACAGGTGTGAGCCACCAGCACCTGGCTCTTCTTTTTTTTATTTTAATTTTATTGTCAAGGTGATATACAGAGGGGTTACAGTTATACAAGTAAGGTAGTGAGTATATATCTTGTTGAACTTGTTACCCTCTCCCTCCATGGCTAAAGCCAATCTTTGAATTGTGATTTCATTATCAAAGAGACTAAAACATGTCAATAGAAGCTCCCAATTTCAAAGGCACCACTAACTGTGGGTGGGTGTTCAGGCTGGGCATTGTTGTGCCCAACATGAAAGAACCTGAGGCAGGAAGATACATAGTTTTAGGCCATCTGGAGACACAGATCAAGACCTTGTTGGAAAAGCAACAACCCAAAGTAGTCTTTAAGTGTCAAATGTAGTTTTAGGTTTTTCATTTGTTTATGGAAACATTAAGACAATGAGACAGTGGCTAGTCAATTTTGTTGGGTAACTTGGTTTGGGAACTATTGCTACATATTTATTATAAAGTACTCAAATTATTTAGCTCTTTTTATTAGTTTTGCTTATTTTTATCTTTATATATTCATTTTGTATTCATATAACCGTGGTTGCTTGAAGTAGCCAATTATTTCTTTGAATTTTAGAAGATTAATTGGATTGGGAAGCCTTAAACATCTTAAAGATACCAATATACCATATTAATAGGTCCCTTTGCTAATAAGTTCATCTTTGATGGTAACCCATTAAAAATATGTGTTGTTTGATTAGAGATGGAAGGGATACTCTTCTTATTGTAGGAATCTTGACCCTTGATTTTTTTCTATATCCATATTTCTGAACAATTAAATATTGGTAAGGTCGTTTATTTTCTATCCCTTATTTTCTATTTTATTGATTTTGGTTAAATGTAGATCCAAATTTAATGCATGAGGAGGTGTTCCTAATAATAAACTCAGTTATCAGTTTTAAAATAATTGATCAAGACTTATAAATAACCATTTTATGTTCTTAATTTTTAGAAAAAGTTTACATTTGTATTTCCCTTAAACTTTCTATAGAATTTTCTTTCCATTGCCATCTAGATACTCTACCAATAAGATCTTAATGAATAAAATACTGGCGTCTGTTCTTAGAGCAAAAACACAAGCTATATAGTATGTGCATAAGGGGATATAAGCTAGGTGTTCTCCAGGGGCATAAATTCGTTAGAGTTGAGAAAAGCAACATGTTCTTTCCTGTTTAGAAGTTTGCGAGCAGAACACTGACCCTTGAATTCATAATGGAAAGCTTGAGGGAGTCCTCACAAGGTTTTCAATGAGTCCTGTAATGAGCCTGAGTGTGAATCTACCCCTGAGCCTGACCTAGTGTAACTCTATAAGCAAGAGAAGACAAGTAGAAACTCCAGAGAGAACAAACCGAGCATGGGGTCGGGAGGTGAACATCAGCTAGAACCAAAACAATGGATTGAAACTTGAACCATCTCTGAATCATACTTTTGCTTGTGAATTAATACTCAGAGGGAAACCCAGAAGCACAAGTTTGACAGCAATAAAATGTATGTTCTGTCTTAAATCAGTAAGCTAAATATAAATAGGAACTTTTCCTGCCTATTGGAGTTCTTGATAGAAATTGAGAGAAACAGTCTCTTTTACAAACATCTCTGGTTGATCCATACCATGGATGGCAGGCTAGTTGTGGACAATCCTAAAGCATCAGACAAAACTCTTGTCTCTTGCCACTCTTGCCTCTCTTGGTAACTGATAGTCATTTGTGAACTGTGTCATCTTGCTTCAAGAGAAGCCTTGAAAGCAGTTGGCATTGAGCAGCATATTTTACATTCATCACCAGTGGTTTTGGTGTTATTGTTGTTTTTTTTTAACAATGCAGCTGCTATCATAGCAGTGGGCAAGGCGGTAGGGTCATGTTGCCCAGAAGACAGAATCAATCCGTAAGTATATTATCAGGGTACATCTGCCAAGGCTTTGTTCCAGGTACCAAGAATGTGGTTCACAAGGAAGAAAAGGTCCCTGACCACATAGGAATTAGAATCTGGGAGAAAGAAACAAGTCAATGGCTAAACAACATCTGAGATGGTGCTAGGTATCCGAGGACTGTATCACAGAATACTCAGGAAGCCATTGGAGGTGGTCAATGACTAAAGACCTCCCAGAGTATCTGACACTGCAGGACAAGGAAGAACCAGCCAGATTGAGGGCAGACACATGTAGTCCCATGTAATCTAGAGGATAAATGCTAGGGCTCTATATAACAAAGTAGACAGACTTTGAGTCAAAAGTGATTGGGCTATAGTGGATGAGAAGAGAATGATATACATGAGATCTGAAAAGCAGTCTGGAGGGGAGGCAGTATAAGACTGGATAAATCAGCAAAGTCATGGGAAGGTTTCAGGTAAAAAAGGCATGTAACCTTGGGAGATTGTCATGTAGAGAATGAATTACAGGGGGTGGAAGGAGACAGTAGACAGGAGCGGTGATAGTGATTAGCTCTGAAATGGCATTCTGCAGATGAAGCAGGTGAAGTCAGGATGTGTTGAATAGATAAAGGAGACAGCACCTTTAGGGACTGAAAAGTTTAGGAGAAGAGTAACGATACAGTAAAGATACTGAGGGAATGCCCCTCTTTGATACTGACAAGAAGACCATATAAGGACAGCCATAGGCAAATAGGCAGCTGCCCAAACACTTGGTGTATGGCTTGTGGAAGAGGGAGTTAAGAGAGAATGTGTGGGGAGTTAGGACCAGCTTTCCTCATTCTTTAGCTCTGTAAGCTCCTGTAACTTGTTTTCTGGGAGATTCAGAAAAGGCAACTTACACATGGAATCCTGAAATAAGACCAGTGTATAATACTTGGAGAGAGGAAAAAGCTCTATCAAAACTGAAATGGAACTGCTGAACATGGAAGTTGGTAGAGAAACAGCAAATCAATAACCCAGAGAGCAAGATGAATCCAAACACAATGAACATCTTGGCTAGTACCGAGTCCAGCCCTTTGACTGTCATCCAGCCATTATTTATTCAAAGTTCTCAAATCTCTAAGAGCCAATAACTGGTAGCACCTATCATGACCACATTCTGCTAATCTTCTTGACTTCAAGAGCAGATAACATGACTTGGTGGTTCCCTTTGTCCTTCTTCCTATAAATGCACATCAAGTGGCTGATCTGTGCCAGGTACTTTTCTACCTCCAAAAATCTTAGAGTCTCATTTGCAAAGTTCCTAATGAATCGCTGGTATTTCTCTAGCTTCCAAGTACAAGTGCATAACAGAAGATGAGGTCAAAATGCCACTAGAAAGGGAGCCTTCAGGTAGCCAGCTCTAGAAAAGGAATACAGTCAACTCTCCATATCTGTGAGTCTGCACTTATGGATACAACCAACTGTGAATTGAAAATATTTGGAAAAAAATATTGCACCTGTACTTAATGTGCATAGGCCTTCTTTTTCTGTCATTAAACCCTAAAAATACTGTGTAATAACCCTCCCCATATCACTTCTATTGTGTTATTACAAGTAATCTACAGATAATTTAAAAGACGGCTTATACTGGAGGGTACATGTAGGATATATGCAAATATCATAACAGTTATATCAAGAATTTTAGCATATGGATTTTGGTATTCACTGGGGGGTCTCAGAACCAATTTCCTGTGAATACTGAAGGACATCTATGTGACCATAACTATACTGGAAGCATTTATCCTAACCTTTGAGATAGTAACTTTCACATTAAATCAGAATTTACCTTCTGAAATTGCTGCAAAAAATGACAGAACTCTGTTTGTTTGTTTTAAAGCTTGAGCTTCTTTCTCTTCTGATATTAACTTTTCCCATACTCTTCAAATTTTCCTTCTACTTTCTACTCTGGGGGGTTATTAGCAAGACTGGCAGTAAACTACACAGAATACATGAGGATAATGTCTTGCAACAGTAGTGCCACTGAGCTGGTTTGGCTGATTTTTTTTCTGTTTTTGTTTTTGCTGACTCTTCTGTCACCCTCAGCCTCTGGATTTCATGACCCCAAGGGGTGCAGTTACTTAGGTGACTAAGGCTCTTGCTGAACTGGTGGAAAATGGACAAACTATAGAATTAAGAATCCCTGCCCCCTTTGGATTGTGCCCAAGAATTGGCACCAGCCTATGCAAAGAATGGTGAATGTGAAGAATGATTTCTTCTAAGTAGAAAGGGAGGAAGCAATCCCCACCACCAGTTCACACAGCACATTAGGGTCTCAAAAATCTCTTAGCCCTGCAGCAGGCTTTCCACTCACACATATTCTTCATTGTTTTAAAGGGTAAATAATGCTTTTCTGGACCGACTCCAAGGCACAAGTCAACCAGGTGGCCTGGGGCAGTCTGGAGGCTATTGCAATATGAATAGTGCCAACAGCTGGGTGAGTTTTTTCTTTTCTCTTGAAAAAAATACCATCTTCCCAAGTTGAAGAATAAAAACAGTGAGACTTTCTTAAAAATGTATTGGGACCTTCTCCCTAGATATTATTTTTTTTCAGGGGAGGGAAATGCTGTTCAGCTGTGTAATGGGCAGTCGGCCATGGTGATTACTGTAAATTCCACACCAGCTTCTGAGAGTCTTGATTTTAGTTGGCCAATTGCAATATTAAAAAAAAAATGATGCCTGCCCTTTGTTCTCAGCATGGTTGCCTAGACTCGAAGGCCTTTTATCCACCCTTGTCCAGACCTACAACAAAAATAAATGAACATTTTTCCAAGAATTTAAAAAGCGAGATATAGTTATAAAAATAGTAAGCATTTTCTTTAGTAATATGTTCCTTTCAGTGAAACTAGCACATCAAAGAAACTAATATTTAATTTTTCACTCAAAATGTTTTTTTAAAAACCTTGCAGCAAAAAGCACTTTTTGAAAATGAAATGTCCTTACTTATTTCTCTGAATAAAACCTTGAAAATATATTGTAATATGCATTTATTATATTTTGTGTGCATGTACTGTTAAACTAGCACCAAAGTTTCAGAATGTGCAGGATTATGTGATTATGAAGATCACAATGTGTACAGAGACAAACTAATTAGTTTTGTTAGTTTAATTGAAGCCTAAGTGCATATGCATATCTACACACACATATTCTATATGTACTTCTACACATACATATGTGTGTGATAGACAGAGATCAGAAAGAAATCTTCAAATTAGCAAATCCACCAAATAATCCACAATTCGCTAATTTGGAAACTAAAAAAGATCCTCCTATGTTAAATAACTGCAGGACAAAAGACAGATTTTGAGTATTCTATTTGTTAGAAATCTGATATGCATGCTTCTTGGGAATAGATCTAGTAGCTAAAATAGATCAATGGGTTGTATACAAGTATATACATTTAAGATAATTGGACAAAGGCAAATTTGCAGAGTAGGCATCTTGTATGTGTCTATTTTTCCCGTAATGTGTTTTTATGTGCTTTACCATAGCATTTAGAATAGGGCTGACATGGAAAAGAGAGAATAATCAAAACATACTATCTCTACATTGTATGAAACACTATACATAGCACTGACTTATTCATGATAATATGCAAGTCAGAGTCATATGGAAAATGGAGCATTATGAGTAGAAGACATCATCCAAGTTCATTAGCTGTGAAACATGATTGGAATACAGATTGGGTTGACTTGGAAGCTCATTGTTGATTGAACATTTCTCCACTACTTGAATAATTGCTCAAATTTAGAATGCACCTTAACAAAAATAGCTATAGTTGAAGGGAAGATGATGGGACATGTATACCTACCACATGGGATGTGGCTAAGAAGATGGTGATTTGACAATAGGATGCTTAGGAAACTAAATCCTCTGTGTTCAATGGCAGTTAAGCATTTGCCATGACTGGTGATAAAACCTGAGATTGGGTTCTCAGAGTGTTACAAAATACAATAATTGTCTGTATTCCATGTATGGCTTGACCCTATCTTGTGGAAGACTCCAAGGATATTTCTTGACCTTTTCAACATGATAGAGGTGGAACTTATTAGTCTGTCTCCCTTCCCCGAGAGCCCCTTTGAAGCCACTTTTCTTCTGTAAAATGTAGCGAAGCTCTACTCAATACATTTCCATATACTCTGCTCCACCTTGTGTTCATCCGTTCCTTGCTGCTGTTGTGGGGGTTGTGTAACAACATTCATGAATTCTATTATTTGTGACCTATGTTAGCCTATCTGCAAGAGCACTGCCAATAAGATGTTATTGGTAAGCTATTCCGTTGTTCAGAGAGGTTATTGTGAATCAATTACAGTATGCCAAAAATTAAACCATTTCACTCATATTTTAAATCATTAAAAAATGGCCATGTTAGCCTGCGTATTATTTGAAGGAATTTTTTTTGGAGTGCAAAGGCATTGCATTTTATTTTGCTTCTTGTGGTAATTAATGTTTTCTTTTACTTCCAGGATATATGAGAAAGATTCGCTTCCATCTAGCCGTGGACTCTGACCTTGACAAACCTCATGAAATGCTTTTCCTTACTCTGATTTTGTTCAACTTCACAGTTTTTGCCTTAACATCAACTGCCCACCCTCTCACCTGAGTAGTTAGAGATGACCAACTTTCCCTGCCATTAGTAATGCATGTCTGTAAGAGCTGATTGCTAAACTCACATTTAATCTACTATTAGCAAAAGCACACGTTGGTTTTCTAATTGGTTTGACCTCCGATGAGAAGAATAATTACAACAATGTTAGTATGACAGAAAAAGAGAAAAATCACTCGGTACTTTTAGGTTAGAGATATGGGTGCTGTCTCATGTCTCCTAAGTGACTAATTCTTGCTAATTCTCAGATCAAGTTTGGGGAAGCTTTTGAGTTTTTAAAAGATTTTAGTATCTATTCACTTACTAAATTTCTCCTATTTCTTATAAACAGATTGCTAAATAAAGTTTGAATTGCTTTGAAATAATGGATCATTTCTATTTTTATTGATAAGCCCTTGGGTTTTCAAGAAATCTCCTTTAATATTCTTTTTTACAGTCTATGTAGTTCAAATGTAGTCATGTAAGCACTATTAGATCTTACTTTTTTGTATCTCTAATATAATTAATGGTGACTCTTGTTTACAGAATGGGGCAATATATTTCCTAAAGGCTTGTATTTCTGTACAAATCAACTTCACACAAATGTGGAGACTTTATATGGTTTGAAGGCTATATTGGAAACTTACCCTCTTTGTTCTACACAACTTAGCTTGCTTGATAATTCAATAGACTTTCCTTTTCAATTTTTGTGACCTTGACCCAGTTCATAAATCCCAGAGTAAAAAGTATTGATTTCCCATGGTGGGTAATCTGGTTTTTCTCCTCCCTTCCTGTCCTTCATGTGACCTGGGGAAAACATTCCTTTATAAATGCTATATATATATCCATTTATATGATATATATATGGATATATACATATGTACATGGACATATAAGTACATATACATGTATATGCATGTATATACATGTATATATATATATATATATACTTAAGAAATCTTCTGTGCTACCAATTACTCTGTTGAAATTAACTTTTCAATCTCTATGCTTTTTGAAGCTCTGGGATTTGAAGTTCTTGAGCCAAGACACATGACTAGGGCACAGGTTTCCTGCAGAAAGGGCATGCTGGATAGGATAAAGGTGAGTGAGAGCAGATGGTGTTAAGGCAGTTTCTCTAAAATAAAAAATGCAGATGTTCGTGCTTTCGCTGTCCTCTGCCAGCTGACACTGTGTTGGTGCTGTTGACACTAATATAAAATGTTTGGTCCATTTGAAATCTTTGTTGTTGCCTTACATGGGGAAAATAAATCCCGCAGCCAGTCTTGGAAATATCGCCAGACTGATTGTAAATGTTTGGCTGAAGCAGGCATTTTGCTGCTGTGGCAAGCAGCCATTTCAGCCCCACACCTGCTAGTTTGGCTACCTTACAATCTTGTTTTGCTTTTTGTGTCTTGCCTTGATTTTTTTTTTTAACTGTGGCTTTTCAATGTGTAACCAGAAGTAAGGGACAAGGATGATTTCTTACTTTGGGACTCTTGGGGAAGTTAATGCCAATATATCTTCCACTGTATAGAGGAGTCTGTACCTCCAAAGAAATTTTATTCAGGTATTTGGTTCCAGTTTTAAAAGGAGTGCACATTGTGATTTTGCGACTGAAATTCTCTAACACATAGATGAGTTGTAAATATCTGTCCTGAACAATTTCTATGTAAGCACAATGAATCAGGAAAGAGAGGAGATTGGGTGCCTACAATAACTTGCAATTTTGATTTTCAGATTTGATCAGCCCTTTAAAATCAATGGGAATACAATTTGACATATAGGCAACTTTGCATTGTAAATCCCAAAGTTCTAGTCACCAATTCTGGGCTGTTAGAGTGATTTCATTTTTCTGGAAAAGGAAAAACAAGAAGAACCAAACTGTTATGAAAGCAACATGTACATTATAGCAACATTAAATAATAAAGATGAATAATTGAAGAGGTAAATTTTTCAGGTTTTACTCATGGATAGTCATACTAGTTTGGTGTGCAGCCTTCCAGATCCTTTTCTATCTGCAGGAATATCAAAATCTTTATAGTCATTTGTCTAATATTTAGATGAGAACTATCACTTATAATTAGAACTGCTATAAATTGCTGTGGTGTTAGGCTCCTGTAATAAAATTCCTTGGACTGGATAGTTTGTAAACACATTTATTTTTCCCATTTGTGGAACCCAAGATCAAAGAGCCTGCAAATTCACTATCTGGTGAGGGTCTGCTTTCTTGCTGTGCCCTTAAATGGTGGAAGGGCCAGAGTCTGCCTTGGGCCTCTTTTATGAGGACACTACTCCCATTCCTGAGGGCTCTTTCCTACTCCAGTGACCTTATCACCTTCTAAAGGCTCTGTTTTCCTATGCCAGCACCTTATAGGATGGAATTTCAACATAGGATCTGGGTGTGGAATGGGAGAACACAAACATTTAGACCACAGTTTAAGTGCTTTGATAGATAGTCAAGACATCAAAATACTAATTAACATAGAAGCATGCCACAGTATAGTATCTTTGTTCCTATTTCCTCTCCAGTGCTATTAGTGAATTAAAAATCCTTGCCTATAGGTTGAGTTAAAAATGTTATTGGAAAGCCAGGCACTGGTGTCCATGCCTATAATCCTAGCTACTCAGAAGACTGAGATCTGAGGATAGCAGTTCAAAGCCAGCCTGAGCAGGAAAGTCCAAGAGACTTTTTTTTTTTTTAATTGTGAAAATACTGTACAGGGATTTACTGTACAGGGGTTACAATTACATGGGCAAGATAATGAGTATACTTCTTATCAAGCATTGTAGCCTCCTCCTTTGTTTCCCCTTCCCATCCTCCCCCCCACACCCCCACCCAAACCCTCCCTCCCCCCCCCCCCACCCCTCAGGAAAGTTGTAAAGTTCATTTTCGACATAATGACTTGTACATCTCATTGTTGCAATGGGTCCACCTGTATCCCTATTTAAACTATTTGTTTTTTCCCTTCCCCTCCACAAATTATACCTACATCAAATACAGTGAAAGCAGGAGTTATACTGTGGGGGAGGGACATACAAAGCAACAATGAAATAATCTTATAAATGTGTTTGAAACAATTGCATGTTATCTCCAATTAACCACCAGAAAACAAGAAGTGGAGCTGTTGCTCAAAGTGGTATAGAGAACTAGCCTTGAACAGAAAAGCTACAGGACAGTGAGCAGGCCCTGAGTTCAAGACCCATGACCAGAAAAAAAATATGTTAGAGAAGTTAACTTTCTTTGTTTCCATATATTTGCTGGTCATTTCCTTTTTGTTTGTAGCTAAATGGTGTGTGTGTGTGTGTGTGTGTGTGTGTGTGTGTGTGTGTGTGTGTGTGTGTTGTTATTGTTGATTTGTAAGAGATCTCTCTTTGTCATGGTATGATGTTACTAATATTTTTCTAATTTTTGTGTATCAGCATTTAATTAGGTATCAAATTTTTAAATATGCTTTTATCTTTATCAGTCTTTTTTTTCTTGTGGTCTCTTCTTGCTATAAGGTTGATAAATTTTAAAATGTGCAAAACAACAAACTGTCTAGTGGCTATCCTAACAGAAAAAAAGATGGCCCCTTCCCTGATGAGCCACATTATAGGGGGTGACAAGATCTCATTCGCATAATGCATAGCCCTGAGATTGGTTTTTGGGTGTGTGTGTTTAGACTAGAGTCCTATTTTGTACAATCCTCAGATACTCTGTTCAGGTCAAAAGAAGCACTGGATTGTTTCTTTGGATTGCTTTTGGCATTTTTATTTAATAAGAATACATACATTTTTTAACTCCTGAGGTTTGATTCTTTCAGAAAGTGTCTTCAGGATATTACAGAATATTACATATTCAGGAAATATGTTAACATATTTGCACTCCCTCCAAAATAAAACATTTGACATAGATATGAAAATTAAGTCAAAATTCATAAATTCTATGATAATTCTTGCTAACATACAATGGAATTCTATACTTCCATCAGAAAGAACGACATTGCCCCATTTGTTAGGAAATGGAAAGACTTGGAAAAAATTATATTAAGTGAAGTAAGCCAGGCCCAAAGAAACACAGGCCCCATGGTTTCCCTTATTTATAATAACTAGTACATGTGTAGGACAAACAGAAAAGGTCAAAAGCTATGTACATATGACCATATAAGATGATGTTAAGTGAAATGAACCCCAAGATAGGGACACAACTATCTTTTTTCTTTCTTGTTATTGTTTTTAATATATTTATAATGTACCATGTGATTTTTTTTGTTTCTTTGTATGTTCCTCCCCCCACAGTATAACCCCTATTTCCACTGTATTTGATGTCGGTGCCCTGCATCTTATATATACACTTCTCTTTCGGGGAGGGGAAGGGAAAAAACAAAATGCTTAAACAAAGATACAGGTTGACCCATTGTAACAATGATATGTACAAAACATTATGTTGAAAACAAACTTTACAACTTTGGTGGTGGGGGAGAGGGAAGGACGGAGGTAGTTAAGGTGGAAGGGAAGGAATAGTAGGGGGAAAACAAAGGAGGAGGCAACAATGCCCAATAGGAAATGGACCCATTACCTTGCTCATGTAACTGTAACCCCTCTGTACAACCTTTTTTACAATAAAAAACATACAAAAAACCCAACTTTCTGATTGGTTTATACAGCTTATAACCACAGAAACAGTACCTATATGGTGAACGTAAATGCCAAAGTTATTAAGGCGATGGATAAAGTGGATCTATTTATTCCTAGCAAAAGATATGCCTGGCAAAGGAAGAAAAAGGAACCATTTTCTAACAGTAAATGGGAGAAAAAAGGAATAAGGTTGTGGGTTTGTTTCAACATAAATGAATGCACACAGTGATTAGCTCTGGGCTGATGTGGATGGGGTAATACACACATGATGTGTAATAAATTTATGCTAGTTTAAAAATATGCCCTTCAAATAACCAACAGGACTGCAGAGAATAAACACATTAGGATTTCTTGAAGGAGCAGGCTCTGCTACTTAAGAAAAGGATTCTTTCTCTTTTACAAATACTTCATTGTTTTACAATGGAGTTGGAAAAGGATGGTGAGAGAGAATCTTCTTTGCTTTCCTGCTCTCAGATTATGGGTTCAAAGGTGAAGGATTCTTTTTTAAAGACATACAATGGCAAATGAACAGATACTTTCATTACTTTTATTGTCAGGTTATTGTGCCATCTGCTGGGGCAGAAGATGAAGGAAGACTCATCCTGCAGCATACATGGCTGCTGGTCAGCTGATGTATTTCATCCTCTTGGCTTTGCTGCTCCACCACAGGACATATGCAGGGCTCTGCTTTTCTCTGTCCCCGAGGAGCACTGACTCCAGCTGTGCTGTGGGGACTGTTCTATCAGCTGTTAGAAGGTGACATTTCATT